AATGCGTTCAATTATTACCTGCTTCATGGCCATATTAATTTACAACATTGTTTTATTATTAATGAGTGATTGCCCAGAACGGGTATTTATCAACACATCTGTAGTAAAATAAAAAACAGCAGAATTTTAAAGAGATGAATATATGGAAGAAAAATCTATTCTAACAATAACAATTTGGAAAAGATACAGCACTTACCTCTAATCTCTAGTACAGTAAATGTGTATTTTAAATCAGAACATCAGGTTAACTCCTCTCCTAGCTGCCTTCCTTTTATAAAGACCACAAAACCTTCCCTTTTGCTTAGAAGGGACTGGGTTAAAAAACTAAAAGTTGTGTAAATCAGTTTTAGCAAAAAACCACAAGCATAGTGTTGTAACACAGAACTTGAATGACGCTTTCATGTGGTTAGGGCAATAACCACTACTGTATTGCAAGTACTGTCTGTGTAAGTTCATCAAATGTGCTGTGAGCACCCAAGGTAGCGTTTGTACCTTTTGGGACCCATCATTTTGCAGAACGGCACATGCCAAGTGATTAATGGGTTCAAATACAATTGAAAGAGAAAGCCCAGACAAGCAATAGTTGGATAAAGTGAGGTATTTTTACATTGGGTTACATTTAGGTGCATAGAAGTGATGGTGAATAGGATGGCAATTAAACCTTAGAAAAGCAGGGTAGTAAAATACCAGCCTGCAGAAGTCCTGGCAACTTGAGAGGGACTACAGCCGTGCCTGTTTGCACTTGGACTATTTATATGTCGAGGGCCATTTTTCATTGACTGCAGAAGCAGACAAACAGCTCGAGCAACTGCTGTGCGCATACATGGAAATGCCAGGTGCGTGCCCCTCTCGCTCCAGAGAAGAGGAAGAGAGGGGAACTGCGCTATTGCTTTTCATCACAGCCCAAGAGTGGCAAGCACTTCAAAAGGTGCTATGTACAGACTTGCTTTCCTACTGTTCCCAGAGGCCCCTTTAAAATCTCACAGCATTATTCATTAATGCACTGCTCCGACTTTCACTGAAATCATTGATTTAATAGAGAAGCAACACAATCTCTGATTTCTTCCTGCATTTGCCATGCACTAGATGCAGCAGGGTGCTCAACACACTGCTTGCTCTATGGATGGGCATTACGTTCCCATCCTTGCACGAGAAATCTTCTGTAGAGACTGTAAGAGAAAAGCAACACGTCAACAGGGAGCTCAAAATGGAGCAGTAGTGGGAAACCGGAGTGGGGATTGGATTTGCAAAAGTGAGGAACATGTATGACTTGTATTTACTCAGTCAATATTTACTAAGCAAGTAAAAAGCACTCCACGGCAAACCAGGCCTTGTTGTCCGCTGGCAGGATTCCTCAGCTGCTTGTGACCTGGACATCTCATTTCAGTGTCTTATTTCACTGGGCAGCTCCCCCACCCCATTTCCCCCCCACCCCATTTCCCACCAACCAACAAAATGAGCAGGGCAATAGACCAGGGCTGCCAGCACTTAGCCGGCACTTTCTGATGTAAGCACCAGCTAATGAACAGGACCCAAGTAAGCCAAGACAACTAACTTGCCAGTGGCCTCAAAACCACATCTGTTTGACATTACTTGTCCACATGGTATATTTCTAGCACACTGTAAATTGGGCAAATATAGGCTCTCTGATTTCCTACCTGATAATTAAGAAAAGCCTTTGGAATAACAAACCCCAGCGCCTTTTCTAATACAGGGTTAGTGCAGAAAATTAAAGGTCTGCATTGTGAGCCCTACCCACATGGCTTGCTGGCATTCTGCTGCCTTGCCAAAGGCCTCAGATTTCACATTTACCCTTGGGAGCCGGCTAAGTAAGGTCACGTGGGATTTCCAGTTAGAAAACTGCACTTCACCTTAAGATACTCTCACTTCCCCAAAAAATGCATTTGGAACTTCATTAGCTCTCCTGGTCATCATCCTGTTTGTTTCACCTGGATCTTCTGATACAGTCAGAACCATCCTCCACAGTTCCCTCCTGATGCAGTGTGAAAAGAGTAATCCCAGATCACCCACGGACGTATTCAAACTACATATAAATAGATTCCGAATCCTCTACTGGATTACCACAATACTGAATTAACTTAGGTACAGAATTAAGCTATTTTCTCAGCCGTTCTGGAGAAATACCCTTAAGCAGATATTTATGTTGCATCCCTCGCCCTGCCCAGATTGGTGAATTCAGAATGGTATTAGGTTACGTTAGCACAGGTAATTACAGATTACCACGCTGCTCAGCACAGCTGCACAGGGCACCCCGTTCTCAGCTCTGATTCCAAATACCTGCCTTATCCCAGGCCTACAGCAGCAACTTGTCTGCTAGCACACCTCTTCTTGGCACGCATCTGGCTAAAGCAAGGAGTACGTGTTAACAGCCATAGGCCCATACAGGAGGTTCATCACGGAAAAATGTCTGTGTCTACAGTATAATCCAAGTAGCTAAATCCCAGTCTGGAGTCAACCCCACCCCTCCAAGAAGCATTAGTCCTCAAAAACAACTCCTGACATGTTATTCATCTTTCTGCTGATTGCTAACACCTCAAAACCCTTTACAGAACTGTAATGGCAAGAAGCACCCCTAGCAATACGACACAAAGATCATTCTTCCCCTTGGTGCATTTATACACATGCACCTGTGGAAAAACTACCCCCAAACATAACTACTGCTAGTACAGAGGTACTGCTAGATAGCAGAGCACAACCCCTGCAATCATATTGCTCTTCAGTTCCACATCCAGATAACAATAAAACAACACACAGGAAAGTTCACTGCGTTACTACCTTGCCACATAACATGAAAAGGTGCCAAGAGGTGTTGTGTGCCAGATCATGTCTCCAATACTTTTGGAATATGTTTGTATTAAATGACCTGTACGCCTCCTCCATGTGCATACCTGCACAACTCGCTAATCAATATACAGACAGCAAGCCAGAACAATTTCTTTTGATGATGTATCTGCCAACAGTTTTCTGAGCCTAATTTTAAATGTCCATTTTCAGCAGAACTCTTACATCTTATCTTAGTTTCTTCCTTGAGTCTCAGTAATTATTAATGACTTGTACATAGCTGTTGAGGTGTGTGCCCAATTTAGGTCAGTTATCTCATTTCTCTGGAGTACAGACTTCTCTCAAGCACAAACAACAAAACCTTGCATTTCAACTAAGCTCTCTGTTCGTACAGGTGCTGGTAATGCCAGGCAGATTACATTTATCTGTACAATAGAAGTTGGAAAAGCAAACTAACTTTTAATTTTGTTTAATAACTTAAGAACTACCTACAAAAACTTTCCAGCATGCAATATCATACTTAGGTCATAAAATTTCATGTACCAGCAGCAGAGACTGTCAAGTCTCCAGCTGTAGATGTACTTTCATAATTTTGAATTTTAGTCAGATCTAAAGCCTATTTTTTATTATTAAAAAAAAAAAAAAGACAGACACAAAGCAAAATCCTATGCATTGGAAACCTGCTTTTCAATGAGTCCTGTAAAGGTGAAGCAGTGACCCCGTTTTATATAAAGGGTAAAAAGCATTGGCCTGAGATGGCAGAATCAGCTCAGTTTTCTCCTCTAGTTGACAGAGTTCAGCTGTATTCCCCAGCTCTCAGAAAAGTGGCCTGAACATCCCACATAATTGCCAGTGGGTTAGGAAGGCAGGCGAGAGCACTTAATGCTCCCTTTGGAGCTACTCCACTTTGCCAGTCAGAAAAAGTTGACAGAAGTGACTTTACTCTCATATGCAGGGTCATGAACTAAAAGGGAAGTGTTTAGGTCTCATTCACCAGTCCAAGAGCAAATCATTCTTTTTTCTTTTTTCCCAGTTGACAATCTCTGGGTGAAATTCCTATTTAACCCCACTCCTCTACAGTGGTTAAAGTTTTCAGTTTTTAATTAAAAGCACTACTGCAAACTATCTTTTTGCGTGCACTCAGGTATAAGGCAATATTGTGCAAACTATGGGGATCTGTTCCAAAAAGCAAACTTGCCTACCACAAACTGTATTTTCTTTTAAAACGAAGTTTACCTTTTGGATATCCAATACATACTTAAACTGTGCCACTGCAGGGACACATCCCAGGCAGGAAAGAAATTCCATTGGTTGGTGGGGCTAATGGAGTATTGCCTCACCTGCCTGTTACATTCTCAATTATGCCCAAATTTCTTGGAGCTTTTATTTCATTATCTGCAAATACATTTTCAAACAGTTTTTGTATTGGTACATCTTCCATTTTAGTCCCATGGGAGCATGATAACCCATCTTTGTTTCTACAAATGGAGTGGAAATTATTACACACATTTCCTCAGTAATAAAAGACAGATGTAGTTTTGAACATAAGCCTATGTTTTGATTCTAAATTACTAGTATAAATCATAACTTCAATTAAATAAGCAACATGCTCTTAAACAATAGTAACACTTGATCCCAAATAGCAATGCGTTACTAGAAGTCAACACTGTCAAAAGCACTTTTTGGAAGTCACGCCATCAGCTTCTCCTGCTGTTTCGGTACCTTTCTCAGAGGGAACACAGGCAAGATGACCAACCACCTCAGTGGGCATTACAATTTAGAGCACATTACAATTTAGAACAGTCAGGTAAATGACTTAGAAAGATGAGCAATGGCTTCAGTGCACGCCCCTGCTACTGAAGGGAGACATGAATGATCCTTCTGCCTCGCAGAGGACAAGCCTGGTTTGGCCTCCCCACACAGGTTCCATGTTCCTGTAGAACCACGCATGTGAAGGCAGCACAGCTCAAAACACAGCACCGAGCCAAATGCAGGCTTCCAGAATATCTGTGGTCTTGGGGTGTATTCCCCAACACAAATGCAGTAGCATGAGCATCTCATGCAGAAAAAACAATGCTGAACAACAGCATAGACAAAGAAATATTCCTAAGAACAGACTGGTCTTTGATACTTGTATGTGATTGTTCCAAGTTCAATTTCCTTATTTACTTTTTTTTTGTTTGTTTTTATATATTTAGGTAGGTTCCACTCAGTTTCAACATAAAGCAAAATCACGCACTCGAAAGTGGAAGTTATTACCTCATACTGGTGTAATTCAACAGGAAGCCAGAAAACTTCCTTCAAGGTAGAGGATTTGGCGTGTGAACTCCAGACACGGACTGCATGCTCAACTTGCTGCTGCTGGTAAGTAGCTTTTCATTCCCCTGTCTTGTTCTTCAGCATTGAAGCTTAATTAAATGCTGTAGTAAACTAGAACTAAATGCACACGTGCTACCCAGATACTAATGTGTCTTTAAGGAAAACAACACAGCACTTTTTTTTTCCTCTGCCTTGTTCCTATTTACGCACACAGACCCTACTGTGTGAGTGGACATCAGGCAGCTATGGCTTGAAGCCTCTGTAAGAGGCCACCTTCTCCTTCAGAGCACAAAGCGTATGTTTAGATCTTCGAGATGTCCCAGTGGTGATATATACGTGTTGTTAGCTTTTGTAGGCCATAATTGAAAGAAGACCTCATTTATTCTAAACCAGATTTTTTATTTGGACAACCAATTAACAAACTTGCAGAAGTCTACTCTCTTAGCCCGTATGAAATTCTTTTTTCTGTTTTAGGAAAATGTTTGATTAAAAAGCGAATTAAACTGGGACATGATTCTGGATGCACAGTTATGTGCTACTGTACCGTATAAGCTAATAAGTCATCCTTGTTCACTGAAACCCCTTACATTCAGTGTTTATGACTAAACAGAAACCAAAAAAAGCCCTACAGGATGCTCATGGGAAAAATGAGCACTACAGCATTCAGTTTACATACCAGACTTCCAACATCACTCCCTACACGGTTACCACACATTCTGTAACTATTTTTCCATCCCAAGCTCTGCCAGCCGAGCAGCCCCCGGTCAGCACCACAGCCCAGGTCGAGCACTTCTGGGCCGTGACTCTAGCCTTGGTGCAGGGCTGGGACAGCAGCTGGCAGGCCGGGAGGCTGCCATACCCCGCCTGCTCCAGCTCTGCAGCCAGACTGCCAGCTCGGGAGCCGTCCTCGAGGAAGGCCAAGTCTGGACTGGGCTGGCACAGCTGGGGCATCACCGCTGCTGCCACCGCAACTGGGTGAGTTTCGCACTTATCCATTGCTGCCAGCTGTCTGAAACAGATCAGTCAAGTATTTTGAAACCTGCGAGCATACACTGTTGCTTAAGCTGTTTAAAACAGCATTATGTTTTATTTTTTCCTAAAACAAACGCACAAGAAGGAGAGGAGGCAGCTGCCAAGCCCGGCACGGATCCCAAGGCGGTGCTTCCCTCCTGCGGGGGCCGCACCTCCGCGGCTCCCACCGACTTCTCCTAGGCCAAAGGGTCGCGGGGTTTATTCGGGGCGGGCGCGTTTTCGGGCTGTTCCTGCATTACCGCACCGCCCGCTCCCAGCCCCAGCCGGGGGGCTCCGGCCGGGCCCGGCCCCTCAGCGCCCGGCAGCAGCGGAACGGGGCAGGCGGCTGCGTCCCGCCCGGCCCTGCCCTGCCCTGCCCAGCCCGGCGGGCACCTACCGTCAGCAGACGGGGCCATCTCGATGAGGGTCTCGCTCGCCTTCCTGCCCAGGCGGTTCATGGCGCCTCGCCTTCCCCACGCTCCTCCCGGCCCCTGCTCGCCCGCACCCGGCCGCTTGGCCGCCTCCCGGAGCGCAGCGGTGCGGTGGGGAACGGGGTGAGTCAGGGGGCGGGCGGGCGGCCATGCATGCGCACTGCCCGCGGGGCGGGGCGGGGCGGGGGGGGGCGGCCGCCGCCCGGGGAAGCCGGGGCTCCATGGCGGGGGCTCCCTGACGGGGAAGGGGGGAGGTGGCTGAGGGTGTCACCCGCACCCAGCCGCTGGCACTCGAAGGCCGCCCAGCGCCTTCCCCTCACGGTTGAAGAGACAGATAGTGATCTGCTGGTTTACATACAGCGATGGGGCTGTCTTTGTTTCTGGGTCTTTTATCACAGCGGATCTTTTATGAGGGAAGTTGAAGGAAGTGCGATAGAGTAGCGTTCACTTCAGGGGGTGCTCTTTTTTCCTCCTTGGGGATGGATGGGCTGGCTCTCCTGGTCCTGCCTCTGCTGGATCAGGCACTAAAGGCCATCCCTGTCAGCTGTCCTGGCTGTGGATTCACAGCAATGCTAGTAAAAGCATTGTTTTGGCTAGCTGCCCATGGGTCTTCAAAGCTGTAGGTGAGAAACTGACAGAAATAATAACAAAGCCTGAGGAAGGGAAAATGGGGCATGGAAAGTGGAGACGAAACTCAAGTCTGGTTGAGTTTCTCAACTTCTGGGTGTTGGATTAAGAGATAAAAGCAACGCCAGCTTGGTCCGGGTCCCTTGGTCTGGCCCAGCCTGCTTTGGCCTCCCTCAGGGGCTCCGAACCAGGCCTCTCCCCGCGCCCTCAGAGAAGGCTCAGATGGCGGCTGCTGCGCGCTGCCCTGGGGCTGCTGTCGTTTTTATGTCCCTAACAGCCCCGTCTTCTCCTTTCTTCAGTAGTTTGTCCTCCACTGTTTGTCCAATACACTGGTTTCACATAGTTTTTATTAATTTGCGCTCCCTCAAGGCAGATCTTGAGGCCTTTTTACCCATTAACTTTTTTGTTTATTTGGCGTGTACTGACAATGTAACAATTGTATGCAACAAACATACCAGGTTTTGTTACTTGAGCAACTAGCATGCAACATCAGTTTCATGGAGAATTTCTCAATCATGAAGTTAATCAAGTCAAGCAAGTCCCTCAGTTAAGGTGCTGGGCCTGCACTTCAGTCTACGTCTGGTACTAGGCCTTTATTTTATTGTATGGCATTACTGCTTCAAGAAATATATTTTTAGTCATGGGCAAGACCTAAAAACATATCTGGTTGCTTTCCAAAGTCTGAAACGTTGTTTTTTTAATCTCAAGATGCAGGGTACCGGGAGCAAAGCCTACAGAAATGGCCTGCTAAGTGAGAAGCATTTAAACAACTTGTAACAGCATACAATTCACTAGGTCACAATGTTCAGTTTAAAAGCTGTGTTTTCTAAGCCCTTAATTTTATCAGAACTTTAAATATAGGATAAATGCTTTTATGCCTGTAGAAGATGCAATTAGAGTTCCACCATTTAACAAGAGCCAGAAACAGCAACAATTTCAGTGGCCATGGCTAGGTTTTGCCTTCTAATTGTATGCTTTCTCTTCCCAGCTCCACCCAGCATGTGCATGTGAAGCCGACCATATCTAAAGCTATGTAAGTACTCCAGAGATGATTTTGCAGATCCCTGTAATTGGTCGGGTACATGGTTTCTTGAAGCACTGAATTTATGTAAATTACATAGTAGTTTATGTCAGAGACAGGACAGGAATCTGCTCTCCCAGGAGGTACAAAAGGCCTTGTGTCCGTGGCAGGCACACAGGAGGTACATGCAATACATGAAAGCATTTAGCTTTCTTGGATATTCTGAGTTTAAGCAGTCATTGTCTTACTCAGGGGCTTCAGAGTATGCCAAAGTGATCTAGGACCAAACTTCCTACAAAAGGCACAGGCCTTTTTCACTCTTACCTTACATTTTCACTGCTGTTCGTAAGGCAGTGAGTCAGGTTAACCTGTTAAGCTAATTTTTTTTTTTTCCTTGTGGGTTTCCAGTTCTGTGACTCATTGCAAGCAACGGGTACTGCTAACACAGAGACAGAAATGGGGCACCACACAGAACTATTTTATTTTCAGTTTCAGAACTATTTTATTCCTTAAATATCAAGACAACCAGGAATGCCATTGTATTTCTGCTTTTGGTGGTCTGTGGTTCAAACACTGTTTCTAATACTGTGTATATATAAAACAAAAAATAAAAATAGTAGACTTTAGGTGTAGTTAATGTGCATTGCCAGAAATTGCTAGTAGTGATTACGCTTGGGATGTTCAGCAGCAAAATGTAATCTTTAACTATGTGCACTAAAGGAGAGCAGATAATCTGTATCCCTTATTTTTTTTTTTCTTATCCCTTATAAAGGCTTTTTCAAAAGCATGAAACCAGTTTAGGAGCCATCATATTTTCTAACTTGTTTAAGTGCAGAACATTGGGAGGATTGGAGGGCCAGATTTTAAAGATATCCGTGCTTCCATCATTGTCTTAGATAAGTACCCCATAATCTGTTCAAAAGCACAATTTTCATTCTGAGATCCTAGCTTTTAAAAGTCATGTTAGAGGACTAAATGTTTTGGCATCGAAGCATCTTTGAAATATATGGTCCTAAATCGTGTTGAAAATAAAGCTTTTATGTATAGCAGTTAGATGCTTTGAAAAAAAAAAAAAAAGTTCTCTATTATTTACCCACCATGAAGGAATATAATATAGACAATTTTGTTTGTTTGTTTTTACCACTTGGGGATCTATAAGCTGTTAAGATGCCATGTGCTTTCAGGATTCTATATCTGTAAATCATAGAAAGACTGTATATCCTGAGTTGGAAGGGACCCACGAGGATCATCAAGTCCAACTTCTGGTTTCTCACAGAACAACCCCAAAATCAAACCATATGTCTGAGAGCGTTGTCCAAATACTTTTTGAACTCCCAACAGGCTTGCTGCAATGACTACTTCCCCAGGGAGCCTATTCCAGTGCCTGACCACCCTCCCAGTGAAGAACTTTTCCTAATATCTCACCTGAACATCCCCTTTCACAGCTTCATGCCATTCCCTCAGTTCTTACCACTGGTTACCAGAAAGATCAGCTCCTGCCCCTCTGCTCTCTGTGAAGACCAAGTAGGCCTTCCCTTTGCAGAGACCTAGACCTGTAGGCCTAGTCTAGGCTTCCTCTCAGTCTCCTCTTTTCTAGGCTGAACAAACCAAGCTGCTCCTCATACATCATACTTTCTAGACCCTTCACCATCTTTGTAGCCCTCCTTTGAACACTCTCCAATATTTTTATATTCTTTTTATACTGTGGTGCCCAAAACTGCACACAGTACTCAAGATGAGGCTGCACCAGCACTGAGCAGAGAAGGACCATCATTTCCCTCGACCAGCTGGCCATGCTGTGCCTGATATCCCCCAGGATATAGTCAGCCCTTTTGGCTGCTAGGGCACACTGGTGACTTAGATTCAGCTTGCCATCAACCAGAACCCCCAGATCCCTTTCTGTGGGGCTGCTCTCCGGCTTCTCATCCTCCAGTCTGTACGTATATCCATGGCTGCCCCATTCCAGGTACAGAATCTAGTACTTGCTCTTGTCAAACTTCATATTGATGGTGATTGCCACTTATATATCCCTGTCACAGTCTCAGAAGGTGCAATAACTTTCTGCCACTGAAAATGTGTATTGTGCATACTCCTTCTGCTTAGGAAAGTTTTGTATATATTCAGTTTTAGTAAGTTCCCACATCAGACTGTGAGCATAAGTCTGAAACAGATAGAGTAAGAAAACCCAAGTTTGAAACAGATACAGTAAGAAAAGGTAAAGCATCGTGTCTCCTTACCAGTCTCTTCAGTCTACAACCCATGGCGGATTGCTTTGCTGTAAGGTTTCAGTTCACACAGAATGCATCCCAGAAGCCGATGTTACCACCTCCCTCCACTTCTTCAAGCAATTAAATGTCTTTGAGGCTTTACAAGAGCCAACCAGTGCCTTTCCCTGTCTTTAAATTAGCCTTTTAGAATATAAATAATAGTGTGATTTGGAAAGAAATTAATCCTCTAGAGACCAGTAGAACTAGGTATCAAAGAGGTTTAGAAAGATAAAGTTGAACTCAGATGGAAGTTAGATGCTCAAACCCAACATGACAATAATCAAAACATCAAAACTCCTGTTTGGTTACCCGGTTACCACTTAGTCTTGTAACTTTCATGGCTTTTTTTTTTTTTTTTTTTTTTTTTTTTTTCCCTAATGCTGCCAGAAAGGAAGCACGGTATCTCTTTCTCAGGCAATAACATCAGTTAAAGCTTCAGTGCTTCCCTGGAATGCTGGAGCTCACAGACCAGTTACTGTGACTGAAGGGGATTTGACCTCTCCTAATGCAGTGCCACACCACCAACCTGTAGGCTGTGTTAGAGATGATGAGGGAAGTACCTTACACCCTTCTTTTACGGTTGCCACAGTAAAGAAAGGAATGTAGTAGCCCCTGATCTCAGAGAAAGCCTGAGGGAGATTTTTGCTGTCTGGAGATTCAGTCTGGGTTCCCTAAACTTTTCCTGCATTTTACTCAGATGCTGTTTGATATCTGACTCTCCTTGCACCGTATGCAGTTCTTCAGGCTAAACACAGCTGTCTGAAAACTCCAGGGTCAGGCACCTAGGAAATACAGCAATGCTTGCTGATGGAACAGGCATTTGAATTTGTATACGAAGACAGCTAATTTTATTTGCATGCTGCCTTGCAACCCTAAAAATCATCAGGAAATGATAATGATAAGAGGCTGCTCTAAACAGTTCCGGTGTTAGGTGGCAGAATGTAAGCAGTTCTCAAAGAAAGTTTGACATAGTATGCAAATGTACGTAGTTACTCACTGCATTTTCTCTTCACACTTTTCAGTTAGTCATCTGTTTGTATTAAGTAGCGCAGGTAAGGATAACACCTACAATACTTAAACAAACACATATCTCTGCAGACTACAATCTGCTTTTTACTTGAGCCGATTTACTGCGAATTTACAATAGCAGAGCTAAAATCAACTGCCTGGTTTGTTCTCTACCCTAGGGCAAGGAAACTACATGGGTGTGGTCCCAGCTAAGCCCAGCCACGTCTCTGCAGGGTGCTGACTGCTCCGGGAGGAGGAAAGCATGAAACAGGAACAACAGTTCTGTGTCCTTTGCATGAGTAACAGATGTGTTGAAAGAGCTGCAAGAGACCAAGGTAATCTTAACAGAAAGCTATATTTTGGTGTTTTAACAGAAGCCCGTATCCCATTTCATACACAAGCACACGTTTTAGTTCTGTCATTTTGCAGTTGCATTCCAATAACTGGATTCCCCGGTTTACAGCTGCTATCAAAGCCTTCTTGAAATAACACAAAGAAACCACAAAAAAGACCACAAGGAAAAAAATACATTGTTAGGTACTGGGGAGTAGAAAGAATCCATCTCTTTCATGCTGCTAGAGACTTTATAAGGATATCCTAATATGCAAACAATCTATTCATTAAGTATGTGTGAGGTGTGATTCTTCGCTCTTGTTGTGTCCCTGAGGATATACTTCCATTGATTTTACTAAACTGCTCCTAAATAGCTGAGCGGAGATCAGTATTTCATTCTGATCGGTTGTGCACTGATAGGTGCGTTTGTAGAAAGGATTATTGAATGCAGTAGAGTTGGGATAAGGCTACTTGATCAGTTCTGGCACTTAAATGACAATGTTAATTTAAGGACATTTTAGTAAGTTCCTACGTGCTTTCTAGCGAAATCATCCATTTTCTCTCTCGCTATTATAGATAGTTTCTCAGGATTTAGTGCCCTCTTGTGGTAATTGTGTTTTCTCCTGTGAAACTAGGTATGCTGACACCTCGGTTTTTTTTTTTTTTTTCCTTTTAGTTTTCTCTGCATCAGTTGATTACCCTTTGGTGATCTGCATCAGTTGATTACCCTTTGGTGATAAATGGATAAAATTAGGTGAAATTATATATATATATATATTAAAAAAAAAAAAAAAAAACAAAAAAAACAACACAAAAACAACAAAAAAAACGCAGGGTTGTGGATGGAGTAAATGAGGAGGCTGATGTATGAAAACCAAAGCATTGAAATGTTGCAGGGAGCTAAGTAGCTCTAGCAAAAATATTGGAAACTTTAGTTCAATTCAGTGTGCATTAATCAGCTTAGACAGTAAAGCAGAACTGAATTATAAAGGTACCATAAAATTAAGAGAGCAAAACATTGCAGTTTTGTATGAGATAAAATGTAGTCTCACACAAAATTTTCAACATACCTTCTAATGACTTGTACATCTCTTGCATGTGCCCATTTTTAACTGTTCTTAGTTACCTATTTTATTGCAAATTTACAGAAATGTATAAAGAGATTATCAGCTACATAAAAAAATACTAGGAAAATATAAACCCTTCTATATGCTTATTAATAAGGCAGGATATTCAAGCACAACTTATTAGCTGTCAGGCTGCTGAGAATAGTAGAAATAATGTTACAAGTGATTGTCTAATCCTATGGACAGTATTGAATGAATGTGTTCTTCTCTGCTGTTTACAAAATTCTTTGTGAAGAACATTAGAGGTTCCAGTGTAAGCTTTAAAAAAATGTTTCACTTTTGCTGTTATAAATTATATTTAAATTCTGCATATTTGGTAGATTTACACCCTAAAAACAACTTGAACAATCTCTTACATCAAAGGATCAAACTACATCTTCTCTTTTCAGCCCATCTCCTTGGATATGCTCTACAGTTTAGTTCTAGTCCCTTGGCTGAAGATTTCCACCCTAATAAAATTGTGCAGTGAGCTGCTAGTTCTTGTTTGTTGTAACCTTTCAGTTTTCTTTTATACTCATTTTCACAGTTTTTCTGTGCAACTATGTGAGATACACAGTAAAATGTTTCCAGCCTTTCCCCAGTCTCTAGTCCTAGCTGATTTCTACACCAGATCCTGTCTGAAAAATGTAATACTTATCTCCCCACCCAGGGGAACCCTTGTGCAAAGTTGTCAGGGCTGCCCCAGTTGTCCTGTCCATCCTAGTCACAGCACAGGCTGAGCATATAGATGAGTTACATGCACTCCATGAACATGATAAGCATCCAGGAGCAGCAGGAGTGGTGCAACACATGGGTACTCCCAGCCACCTCAAACGTAACAGGAAGGATAAGGCAAAAAGAAAAGTGACAAAGTGAAGTAGAGAAGATGTATCTAAAAATCATTACTTTGAAGTATAAATAGTAAGATGAAATCAATATAATTAAAAATTTATATACACATTCTAAGCAGGAAGTAGCAGAGACTGATGAAAAGTGAAAAAAAAAAAGTCAAAGCAATAAGTAAGAAAGATATCAAATTGAAACTTTCATTGTCTGGGAAGTATTGTATTTTAAATTTCGGGGGAATGGAGGAAAGCTCTCAAAATGCAAGGTGCTACTGTGTTTCCTCCGGCTTCTAATAGGCCTATGAGGGCCAACCATAAAATACTTTAATGCTGTTTAGCTCTGGCTTCAAGTGGGAATACTGAAGTGTAACACAAATAGGCCAGTGCAGAGTTCAGTAATTTCAGTACAGCAAATCTGATATTTGAACACTTTTTCTATAGCTGTCTCTTAGAATGTTAATTCTACTTTCCTATTAAAGTGTTGAATTCATAAGAAGAGCTCTGTCATCTCTAATAAAAGTCAAATCTGTTTTCTTGAGATTACTGCTACTGTCTGTAATACAGTTCTTATGAATTGGGTTGTTTATCAGAAGACAAACTAGTTGTGACTTCTAACTCTGTCCTCTTGGATAATCGTTCCAAGTACTTAGTATATATGGAAGAATTTCATTTATCATTTATTTTTCTCCTCATTTTTAAAGGTCTTGTGTTTCATACTTCAAATGTGAAAAGAGGCAAGAAAATACCATAGTGGAAAGCCGCATGCCTTGCCTCATTAGAGAATTAGAGCATTAGAACGTGCATTAGAGAAATGAATGTGACTTTAAATAGGAGAGGTAGCACTGGCTTGTCCTGATCCACTCCTACATTAAGTTAGGCAATGTTGCTACTTCATTTTTCAGTTCAGAGCACTTCTGCATGTTTTGATAGAAGTTTTGAATAATAATACTAATATGAATGCCAAGGTCATTTACTCTTTAATTTTCAGTGATCTTGGGTACTAGAATCAAAACCTTGTGCAGTAACTGTAAATACAACTGCTATCGGTCCATTTTTGCATGGCATTCTGCTAAAACTTGTCTGCCTTGAGTTAATAGAGTGGACTTCAGTTAATCTGTTAAAATTCTCGTGTTTCATAAAAATCAGCCTTTTAGTAATAGGTCTGTGGTTTCTGATGTGATTTAATTTTTCTGAGTCTGACATCTCAAGAATTAAAATAGAATGACAATTTTAAAAACTGTCAGTAATCACTGCTCTTATCAATCATTATCCAATGAAGCTCTATGTGTATTAGCTAACTTTGCCTTGGTCTGCAGCAGCTTTTTTCTTCATTTCCTTTGTACTTTCACAAGGTAATGATGTTATTAAGCTTCATCCCTCCATTTCTGTTTGTAAAATTGATATCCTCCTCACATTCTTCTTGTCATACTCAAATGAAAACTGAAACAGGCAAAGCATTTTTTTTTCTTGCACCTATAAGCATCTGTGCTATTTAAAAATAATTAAAAAAAAATCTGACTATCCACTTATGATTTAGTATCTCCATAGCATAGCCCTAAAGAAATGCTAATGGAATAAGAGTCTATTATTATTTTTCTGTCTGCATGCTCCAGGATTCATGTTTAAAATCTTGTTATTCTGTTATAATATTTTTATTCAAACATCTCGTAACCTTTGTTTTGAATTCATTTTCAAGATTATGCTTTGTCACTAGACTGGTGATCATATTCTCTAATTCAGCACAATTGCATACGTTGTCAGGGTCAACATCAGCTACAGCACTTGCTTTAATTAAGCCTCATGAACACTAATCTCTTTAGCAGTGTTATCTGATAGCAGAGAAGTGATTATTCGTATTGCTTTACTATGGCACATTTACTAATTCATATAAGCAAGCTTCCTTTTCCAAAGACCAGCAACTTTTACACAGTTCTTTCCCAAAATTTATTGCAGTCTTCAATACTGTCATCATTCCATGCCCTTCTTTTCTGCTTTGAGAAACCCATTTTGCATATCTTCAATAAATATTCCCTGTTTTTTTTTTTTTTCTTGTTGGTGTTATTTGATGTTTTTAGAGCTGGGGCATGGACTGTGACTGTGGGCTGTGACTTTTTCTATTGCTTTTCTCTCATGAGAAACTGAAACACAGTCATGTTCTCCACCATGATTACATGGTACATCAAATGTGATCGCCGTGACTATGTGCTATATGAGAAACTAGATTTAAAATTTTCCCTGTGTGGATTGGTATTGCTGACCATTCCACTGCTGGTTTTAATTTGGACAAAAAAATGGGCTTAGACGGTGATGGGATAAGCAATATCATCAGCTGCTGTTCCAGAACAGTTCCCCTTGTCACTACTGATCATTACTTTTATAGAAACAGTCTGTTGATTATCAACTGCAGTTTGATTGATAAAATTATTAACAACAGGAGCACTGTTTCTTGTTTTTATACTATACATCTCAGAAGTTGCTTAGCTAGCTGTTAAGGGGTATGTCAGGAAATAGGGTCCTGTGTGAGCTGTATGAAAAACATGATAGATTTTCCTTAGCTTTATTACACCTATTGTGAACTCGGCCAACTGCGCTCGGCTTTGTGCAACAAATAATTCCCAGTGATATGTTTTAAGCTACTATCAATTTGCCAGTGAAATCAGTTGGTTCAGCGGGGCGTAAACATATCTGAGCCAAATCCAAACAAATGGCTTGGCTGGAGCCCCATTTTGCTGTTTCAAAATGCAAAGTAACCAGCAGGAATTGTGAAGAGGTAGGGGATTCACAATTACCTTGGCATTATGGTCCATACTGGTGTTGTATTTAACTCCTGCCAGAGTAACCTAACTATAGCTTAGTTCTTTACTCCTACTGAAGTTCGTGTATTGATCTCTCCCAGCTCATACCTATCTAGGTTATCCAAAACCTGAATTACTTCACATTCAGTCTAACAGTTCCTAGGTAAAACAACAACACTAGCGAACCTATGACACAGTTTGTAATTCCCCATCAAATTCAAGGCATATAAAACTTACTTTCCATAGCATAAATACA